CATGCTGCTGGACTAAATTTTTTAAAAATATGTTTTTTATTGATTTCAGAGAGGAAGAAAGAGGGAGAGAGAGATCGAAATATCGATGAGAGAGAATCATTAATCAGCTGCCTCCTCCTGCACACCCCCTACTGGAGATTGAGCCCACAATCCAGACATGTGCCCTTGACTGGAATTGAACTCAGGACCCTTTCAGTTCGCAGGCTGATGCTCTATCCACTGAACCACACCAGCTAGGGAGGGGCTACTTTTTTTTTAGAGAGAGAGAGAGAGAGAGAGAGAGAGAGAGAGAGAAACATCGATGTGAAAGCAAGAAATCAATGGACTGCCTCCTCCACAACTCCTACCAGGGATCGAGCCCACAGCCAAGGTATGTGCCCTGACCAGGAATTGAATCAGCAATCTTTCAGTGCATGGGACAATGCCCAATGCACACCGACTAGGGCTATTTCGTGTGCTCTTTATAACAATTCTATGATAGGTGCTATTATTATCACCATCTTCATTTTTCAGATGAGGAAACAGGCAGAAGGACTTGCCCAAGGCCTCAGAACTAGTCAGTGATGAAGCAAGGATTCAAGGAGTATAGAGCTCTCAGCTCTTTTTTTTTTTTTAAATATATTTTATTGATTTTTCACAGAGAGGAAGGGAGAGAGATAGAAAGTTAGAAACATCAATCAGCTGCCTCCTGCACATCTCCCACTGGAGATGTGCCCGCAACCAAGGTACATGCCCTTGACCGGAATCGAACCTGGGACCTTTCAGTCGCAGGCCTACGCTCTATCCACTGAGCCAAACCGGTTTCGGCGAGCTCTCAGCTCTTAATAGCAATGCTATTCTGCTTCTCATAATATAGACTGAAAATTTCTATATACATACCTTTGAATAAATTATTCCAATTCTAAGAATTTAACCTGTAGATGTCTTATAGTTTGACATACAAATCATTTCAGCAATATTTATAATTTCCAGTAATAAATGCTGCATCAATAGGAGATTGGATTACAATCAGAAAAAGGAGGAAACACTTTATGTACTTTTTATGGCAAGATTTCTAAAATGCATTAGGTTAAAAAAAAAAAAGCAAAAGCAAGAATAGTGTAGTAAATGCCTCCATTCTTCCCTCCAGAGAAGATATGTACTTTTTGCTTGTCTGTGCATAAAATATCTCTGGAAGGATACACAAGAAGCTTATAAATTTAGTTGTCTATGGAAAAAATAGTTGGGAAGAAAAATTGTATAGATGTTGATGTAAACAAAACCAGTTTTGTATCTGGAGTGCTCTGAGCTTTGACCAACACTGTCTTTAGCAAAGCATACCAAAGCCTTCCAGTTGATGATTATCTGTGCTCCTTAAAATGTAGCCTTATATGTTATTGTTAGAAATAGCTGAAATGGTATAACAACTGAGATAAATATCAAACTGAAGTATTGATTATAAACAATCATTTTTCACAAGACCACCAGAAGGTACAGCCCCTGGCCTGTACTGCGTCCCTGGTCTTATCAATCATTAGTATCTAAGTTATACTAAACAAAAAAAGTATGTAACAGGGATCTGTTAGTGGAGAAAATTTGCGCAAAACTGCTGGGTCATCTTTGTTCCAACCTGCATTTGTGTAAGTAAATTCCCCTATAGTAAATTTTTTATATTCTATGGAGTTGCTTACTTCATTTGTTGGTCTTAAGATACTTTCTCATGGTGACAATTACACCTTTGCACACTGTTGGACAAGACTTTCCAGTG